TTTTATTATAGAGCGACACACTTTGCTCTTTCAAACAAAGTGTTGCTTGTATCACAAGGAACGACAAAGACATTACGAAAAAAGCGAACTAACGGATCATCGATTGCAAAACGCCACCGATCTGCCAAACTGTGAAATACTTGCGCCAATTCAAAGGCATAAATTAAGTCGGACATGAATGAACGGATGATGCAACGTCGCGAGGCCCCCAGGTCGTATTTAATTAACACCGGCGACTCGAAAAATAGCCTTTCACGTCACTGGTTAATGGTCAGCCATTTTCGTTAAATAACCCTTGGAATCTTTGCTTAGTTTATGTGAAAGTTTTTTTCATTCATGAGGAGAGACGAACTATTGTTATTGTGCGTGTGTGTATGTCCGTTAGTGAATTAATCGAGCAGTTCGTGTAATAATGCTGTGAACGTTTATTACACGCTCATACATAACAATAACTACTTTTTCAGTTACGATGTTTGACTCATGTTCTAGTAATTAGGTTTTTTTTTCGTGTTTTCTGTGGTCGGATTGATTAATTTTTGACGTCACGGAACGCGTTGGAATTGTTTTTGCCGCTTTGGAGGCGAGGAACAACGAACAAACAGGAAATTCCATTTGTTTTCGAAGAGATCATTTTTAGACAGGCGGGGACAAAATTTAGCTCCGGTAACACAATTTAATTTAAAAATGCGTCAAATTAAATTAGTCGTCTTACTTGACTCATCTTTGCGCCGTATATCCGGTATTACCGGATATATTACCGTTACCGTTCTCGTAGGAAAAATGGTTTAAAAAAATTATCAACTTTCTCATTTTTTCGTCAATTCATGAACCGTTTTTAGTTTTTATGCAGAAATATTTTTTCTTTTAAATTAAATACATACAAAAATAAAAAATTGGTTAAATATAAAAAATGAATGTTTAAAAAATTATTATTTTGTGCTTTTACATTACTTCTAAAGTAGGTGAAATACAATACAATAAATGGGAAGAACAACTTGTTGTTGTATAAATTCATATTAATATTTTTTTTCCAACACTGATATCTTAAACTGTTTCTATGGTGCATACCTCTTACCCCTTATGTTGTCGTTAATACATATACGCTGTTTTATAAAGTAGGTTGTCAATAACATCTAAGTACAGCCTGTCCCAAGTTTTAGGGCCGGCCCAAAATAAAATATTTCTAATTGATTAAACGATAGAGGATTATACAGACTTCAATTTAGTGCTCCGCTGACGCGTCGTGCGTGTTTTAAAGGCTTGCTTATAAACTAGTATTATAATATACTATTATAGCTATTAAGACAACAAGAGTTTTATAGTTAGTTTAAATTAGTTAAAGTAGTTTTGAGCGACCATTAGGGAGAGAGAATTTAATAGACCACGATTTTTAACCTAAAAAACTTGTCTTTAAAAAATTTTTCCTACACTAACAGTCTAACAGTGTATCAGAATTCAAAAATTATTATAGACAAATTTGTCAAAAATGACAAAATACCGAGATAAGAGTATTTTATGTACCTACCCTTGAAACAATACGTATAAGCTATTAGTGTTGGAAATTCAATTAGATGAAGTTATGTTATACAGGCTGCGCCAGAACTCGCGCTCCAGAGAAAAATTTGAAGCAAGATAAGAAAGACACCAGGAACATGGAAAAAATGTTTAAAAATCTATCTGACAAAAAAATTTGACATTCATTTTTTGACATTTGACATTTTTTATGTCTATTTAATGATACTGATGTTTTTTTTTACAATTATTTAGTAAAGGTACAAAAATTTTGCCTATAAAAGCCACAAATAACATTGAACTGAGTTACAATTTAGGATACAGCTTCCTTGTTTCCTCTTCTAATAGCCTGTAGCAAAAAAACTTGGAAAATTGTTTTTCCAACACATATGACATTTTTCTCTGGGGCGCAAGTTCTGGCGCACCTGTATGTACAGTTTCGGAATTAAAATTTCGGGCACTTTGTCATTTTCACAATGTAAACTCTAAAACAACCTTTACTCTTGTCATGTTTATGTCATTTTGACTTATAAAATAGCGTGACTGACAGAAAAATTTAATTGTCAAATGTCAGTCATGATGACAGTAAAAAGTTGGTTAGAGTGAACTTTTTGTGACAGAAAAATACTGCCCGAAATTCCGTAACTGTACTGTCAAGGTTCGAGATTATTTATTAGAAATATTACAAAAATTTTGTATTTTATTTTGTACCTCCAACCTATTGGTAAAGAATAGTATATTAAAGTACAAGTTGCGGAAGGTATCTATTCAAGCACAAATTTGAAATTCCGAAACGAGCCGCGTAGCGGCGAGTTGAGGAACACATGAGTGCTTGAAGAACCTTCTGCAACAAGTGCTTTATACTATTTTATCTATTTTGCCGCTTTATATCATTTTATAAATTAAAAAACTAAATTTTTTTTTTCTAGAGAATTTTGGTTGGCGACATTTATGTGGAATAATTTTACGAATAGGCGGAAAAATAAAAATAATTCTTATTTTCGCATTTGAAAATGAATTGTGAAGAAAGTCCGTCACTAAAATTAAATTAACGCCAACGACTTATTCCAGCACTCAAATGACGTTATGTGGGTGCTGGAATAGACTTGTTCTAACACCGAAATAGAAAAATATGTTTTTGCTATTAATTAGCTATAAAATATTAATTAGAAGAAAAAATAACGAAAATGAATGAGAAGTAAAGTAAATGCTGCGTACAAGGCTGGGTTAATTAATTATATAGATATACGTTTTTCGACTATGCACATTTTTAAAATGTTTTTGAAGTGGAGTGATCAGAACAGAATAGAAGAAAAAAGTGTTTATAGCGATTAGATAGTGCCTTGAGTAGAATAATTGTTATAGTCTAGTAAAAAAACAGTGATAATGTAGAACAAAAAAGACCAAAAAAAAAAACAAAAACTCGTAGTTCGGAATGATAAGAGTTCTGATATTATTCCTTCTAGTCGACTTGTCAGATCGAAAAATAAAAATCGTCTTGACAAAAATGTCCCAAAGCTGGCCGTCCGGCGGCTTTCCGAGTTCAACAAACCTCACCGGCGACCGATCCCCCTTTTATTTTTTCGTTGGCATTTTCCTTTTGACCCGCGATTCCTTTGTCGGCGTTGCACACACGACGTCTTCGTCTAGCAATGCGGGTCTGGCCATTTCGCCAACCAGAAATAGATTCGTCGAAGCGGTCGTCTAGCTGATTTCCTCGAAGGATCCGAAGATGGATACGACAAGAGAAACGACGAAGAAGAAAAGAAAAATACCATTCGTTGGCTTGACACACGCAATCGACGCCCATCTTATGTTTACCAGTTTTTCTCGGGCTCGATATGATGGCGTGATCGCTTACCTGTCTTGCATGAGACTCGGAATTAACGAGTTTCTTTCTCGTGAGCGAGTAGCGTGCAATATTCCGGGTCTCGCGAGGTCACAACTCACGTACAGGTATAAACAATGAATGAATTTGCGTACACCGTTAACGGATTGTCGACGTTTTTAAAGCGAAGTTGCGAGGGAGGAAACAGAGGGGAAAGTTGATTAATTTTCATTAGACAAGTGATTTTTGTAACTTAATGGAAGTATCAAAAAACAAGAGGATAGACTACTAATTGAGAAATCATCTATATTATGTTTTATTTGCAAATTAAACCATGATATAATTAAATTGGGGGAAAAAGACATCTTTTTTTTGCAATTCTCGCATTATGTAACTTCACTGCATCTTTATCTCAGATTTTAATTAAAAAAATGGCAAATGAAGATAAGAATCTGAACTACGAATTAATTTTATCGAGATAAAAAACACGGGTGCTAAGTCGAAAAGAAAGGCAAAAAAAGGAACAATTACACCTCGATCGATCACAATCCCGATTTCCGGTTTTCTAAAAATTGCGCCATTTTGCTCCGGGTGAAAAGCGCGTTGTAGGAGGTCCGGAAATTTATCGCGTCTTTTTCAGAGTCCTTTGGAATCGTGCCGAGTAATGTCGCAAAAATTTAGCACGTAACAGTTAGTGATGAAATAATGTACTAATTCATCACTGTCGATGTGTTTGTGTTTTCGCGTTATTATTTATAATGACATTTCAAAGCTATTATTTTTCAGTGTTTTGTCTATAGTGAAATTTTTCTAATTGATAGAATGGACGCCGGAAATGTTAAATTGGTGCAAGAACAGGTGTTTGTTAAGAATTCTGCAGTTTCGAGCTAGTTTTTGATTTAATTAGTGTTAATCAAACCGAGGATTGTTTGTGAGGTCCTATATCCTTATAAATAACACACAATTGACAGTTTAACATTAGTCATCTTTAACAATTGTCCCGACATGGTGGGACGATTCAATAACAAGCGATTAAGTCACTTTCAGGGACAGCTTTATCATCAATTAAATTTTTTCAAAAAAATTTGATGACACCGCTATGTTTATTTATATTTTTTTTCTTGCAACATACGATTGCGTTGACCGTTACTTATTGTTTTTATAGTAATATTATCGCACAAAATAATAATCAGCATTTAAAAAAAATTATTGCGTTTCGTAAGCACGATTCTGATAAATCTTTTAAAGTAGTGGATATCGAATTCAGTTCGAGTTTTTAGTTCAGCCTGGAATGACAAAAGTGGCTTGTTTTGCGAAAAAAAAATTGAAACACGACAGTGACACCCCCATGTTTAAAATGTTGAAAAGTATCTGTGAGTAATCGAGGAAAAATGAATTTTCCATTAGATTTAACCCTTCTGACGTCAGACGTGACGCAAATCGGAAGACAAGACTATGATTAGATTTTTTTAAATGTGATAACCTCCCGAAAGAAAAATCGGACGGTTCCTTATCAATGAAAACTCACTATTGTCGTCCTCATTGATGACAGGAAATTAATGATGCAATTTTCGATATGTCACAAGTTGGAAAAACTAATAAACTAGAGAAATGAAAACTTGATCACAAAGTTTGATATTAAATTTGTTTCTTGTTTCAGACTGGTGCCGCTTTCCGAGGATGAAGTGTGTATGTGTGGAAGCATCCGGCTACGAACGCCTCAATGAGAATTTCCTCGATTATCAAATCGTATCGGAAGATAAAGATAACGCGACAAATGAAAAAGAGGTATACTCTCGTGATTGATTCTTATTTTTTGTAGAGTTTTAATTGTTTTTTGTAGGAGGAAATGGTTTTCTACAACGACGATGGCAGTTACCAAACAGTCATAGTCGAACGAAATCTTTGTGCAAGTGACTTGTGCCAACTTCTAGCTCTCAAAAACCGCGTGTCAAAAAGTGTCAATTGGAGCATCGTCGAACATTGGAAAGAATACGGTTTAGGTGAGTAAACGCAACTTCCAGTTCTTGTTTATGCGAGAACCAGTCCGTGGTAAGCACGACCTACGTCAAAACCGACAAATAACTCTCTTATTTATGCGAAGGCTAAAAATAAAGACGAACAAAAAAAATCGTTATCCTTAAGAAGCCGAAACAATGAGAAAACGTTGATGGACGAGCCGTACACATAATCGTAACTTGTTTATTACATTCAAAAGCTCATTAACCTCAGCAAAATGGCAGCCGGCAGGCAAGACGGCCATTTGCCGATGCGATGTCGTGAATTAAAACACAGGGAAGATCTCGGAGAGAGTTCGTTTTCTGCTCGAAATCGATTTGTCTTGATTTTTATTGCCGATAAAAATTAAATAAATTAAATGCGAAGATGGCATAAAGGGAAGAATGAGTGGAAGTAAAAGTGGGCGATTTATAAGGATAAGCGGGGCTCAGGACAATTTTTCACGACTTTAATCCACTCCCAACAGTGTTTCGAAAGAATACACTTTTCAGGATTTATATTTTCTTGTGTAGAAATAAAAAAAAAATATAGGTGTTTGTTAAAAAATTCCGTTTCTTTGTCACAATAGCGTGGTGTTTGTTTTAATCTTTTGTTCATTTATTCGTCTTCAACTGAAAAATCTTTTCCGGGCGTCTTTTCACACATTCCGGGCGAGGTTCAATCCGGTTGGAAAATGTCGTGGGTGGCAGCAGCTGCAGTCGAAGATCCAGGAAACGTTTCCTTGTTGGGAACTGCAAATCGAAACGTGTCGATGGACGGCCGACGCTACTGATGCCGCCGCCTTCGTGGGTAGGGTAGGTGGCGTAGGTTTTCAAGACATCTAAACAAAATCGGTTTTACAACGTTGTGTGTTGGTTGCATTCTCATTCATGGTTTTTAGTGTCGCCCATGTGTGTGTATCTGAAACAGTCGCTTCGTTAGGTCGGAAAATATTTACTGTATATGAATTTGAATAACACGTTACTTGGCAATAACATGATTAAAAGGCATTCGTGTGTGCCTCTGGAATTATAAATAGAGCGTCCCCGAAAAGAAATTCATATACAGGGCGATTCAGATAAGATAATGAGCCTAACGATCTGGCGATGCAACCCAAAAAACAAATTTTATTTGCGCCTTTGATCCAATTTCAATTAGGATTTGCCAGTTGAATCCAAGTTATCATCTTGTGTCACTCTGACATCAGTGCAGAGAACGATTATTAGTGCCATTCAGTTCTCGCGGAATGATAGAGAAATTAGAGAAGTCTTTTTGGTGTAAACCCAATACAAAATGTATGAAATAATGAAACATTAAAGGTAGGCAAACAGTTTTTTTTATAAATCATAAATTGCTTGTCWAAGCACCATCAGAGCAACATAAGATAACTTGGATTGCAAATGCAAATTGTAATTAAAATTAGATCAAAACGTAAATGAAATTTGTTTTTTGGGTTGCATCGCCAGATCGTCAGGCTCATTATCTTATCTGAATCGCCCTGTATACCTACACGGGTGTCTCGTTTAATTAAATACAATATTTAATAACAGGAAATTCGTTTATGGAACAAACAAGTTATTTATTAGGAGTAATTATCATACAAATTTATGCTTCGTTTAACTGATTAATGTCATTTTTGAGAGGGCAGAAACCCCTGCAAAAACATGGGAAAAAATATAGGAGGTTAGCTAAGGAACCGCTTTGTCGATTGGCGCTTCCGGAAGATTCTAGGAGTCGGGTTGTCGCTTCCGGTCCATGAGTCACTGCTTTGGCTTCCGATGACCGCAAAAATTCGGGAAAATGCCCTTCTAACTTAAAATTAGACTTAATTTTTATGTTTCAAGGGCGTTTTTAATTATCTTCGTCATGCTTTTGTAACCTCCCCAACGTATCGTAATTTCACTCAAACGGGAAGTGCGAATACTTAACGAAGTTGTTCGGATTCCATTACATTCTTTTAAATTGTTTTCTAATTATTTTGCGTAAAATCGTAACCAAATGAAACTTCCTCTGTTATTTAGATTGGTTTTAAATGAAGTGATTAGAAAAATTTACGATTAGAGCAAGGAAAAGTACAAGTATGACAGATAACACCTGATTTATGTATTATACATTTTTCTTTTATCCGGAAAAATCCAGTTATTTTTCTGTAAAAATGCAGCATCATTCCGAGAAAAATGCAAGTCGAGATAGTTTTGCATCCATTAGCATTTTAGAAGAGAGTTACCAGAATTCGTGACTATTAATAGGATGTTTACCTGCATTCTACAGAAGAAAAAAAACATTTATTATTTAAGAAGTTTATCAAATTAAATATTTGCTACGATTTTTTTATTTAATCAAGTTAAGAAATCTCAAGGCTCCTAATCCAATCCTCTTCGATCTATTTTTGGCAAAAATTCTAATTTCTTTAAAGATAAAACGCAACTCATCTTATCGATGAATTATTCGGTTAAAAAGCCGACTCGTATAAATTTGTGAGAAATTTATGATCAGCTTTCAACCCCTCGAAGGTGGGTGTCGAAGGTCAAGTCACTAGAGGTGTTAAAAACTGGGTCGTAAAGTGGGGTGAAAAAAATTCTTTGAAACATTAATGATGCCGAGATAAAAGCTATTGGATTTTTCCTGTTGATGCTTTACAATCCTTGACCTCATGACGTTTTTCATCAAGTCTGTAGTAAATAAAAATTCGCTTTTCGGTCTACCTCGTGACAGTGACATCTTTCCCTTGACCTCGGTTGTATTTTTCAAAACGAAAATGGAATAAACATGATGTTGACGCCGCCGGAACCAAACAAACTCCGGGGAGTCGTCCGGTAAATGTAGGTAAAAATATTCCTTTTCATACCGGCGCCATTTATTTCGTGGTCATCGTTTGATAAAGTAAATTGCGTCGAATTTTTTTTATCGTAGATTTCGTCACGCTTCTCGAATTTCGGTTAAGGTTCCGATTTTATTAGATATTCTTTCCACGTTAAAATGCTAATAAAGATGCAACAAAGTGAATGGAGTTTCCCGAAATCGTGTCGTTTGTCTAAATTAAGCGCGACGGAATGTTTAATGAAATGATTTGGATTTTCTGCGTGAATGTCATAAAAGCTTAAATTAAAAACGTCAACAATGTTCAAAATAAGGTTATTTACGAGTGCTTTAAGTAATAACATGATACCGAGGATTCTTTGACAAATAACAACATATGGTAACTGTCGAGTTTTATCGTCACATCGTCTCGTTTTCTGTAATTTTAGATACGAAAATACTGATTTGATAAAAAAAATATTATTCGTGTAATTGTAATTGTAGGGTGGGTAAAATAAATTTTTATATAAGAGTTTTGTAAAGATGACCTTTTCAAAAGCACAAGTTCACGTTTCCAATCGGAAGGTTTATTTTTATTTGGCACGTGTCTGTTATTTTTCGTGCGTGGTGGTAGAAATTCCGGGTATTTCCACTGAGGGGTGGACACGTTTCATGTGTAATGCGAAAAGTTAGAATTTTAAATAAATTGCAAAACCAAATTCTCTAGACGTAAAAGAATTACACTAGATAGTATTTTCGAAATCTTCATAGAAAAATGGCTGTGTGTCCACCCCTCGATTTCCATTCAATCGGTAAATCAGGAAATCTGGCAGAGAAAAGAAGTCGAATCTTGACCCTTTTCGATGTAATAAACGATTCCAAAAAAGGGATAATTATTTTTTAAAGGTCTTTGATGGAGGGCACATCTTTTTAATTCGGGAAAAACGCCAAATCGAGTAAAAAGTGCGTGGAGTGTGTTTTCACGATCGGTCCAATATCGCGTAATAATTGACAGGTCAGCATGCAATATAGGCGTTTTTTATTGCACACACGGTCCCATAAAAGTAATGGAACGGAGATAAAATCGAAATATTTTGCGTGAAAACGAAAACAAGATAATAAAATTGATTTTTGTTATTATTTATGCGTTCTTTTTTTGATTAAAACCGCCGTTGTTGTGTCAAGACGTAGACGAGACGGGTCGAGAAGCTTTGTTGTGATGCGCAGCAGACGGTCGTTGAAAGTTTCACGTTTCAAAATGTTTTAAATCTGGCATGAGGCGAGGCGAGGAAATAATGTGCTTGCTCTGTTACTGCGAATGTTATTCGTTTCAAATTACGCATTACTAAAATTGTTATGACGGGAAGAATCGTCTGAGTTGTCGTCTCGATCGGGTTGCAAATGCACTCTATAGGAGATGCATCATCATACGCTAGAAAATGCGGAATTAGTTCAAGAACATGACTGGAATTTTAGAGAGGGAGGGTTGATGATGATGGGATGGCTGGTTGATATTCAAACGATGAGAGGAAGAGGATTAAAAATATTTACATATTTGAGTTTTACAAAGATGGATTTCCGATCGCGGGAGTTTGTAAGCTGGGATTTGCCGCGATGGAAATTTTATTCCGAGAAGAGAAAAATATGTATACTGGCTGTCCAGGTCACCATTTTTTTTTATGTTTTGACCAAAAACACTGTTTTTTGCGAGGTTTTAAAGAATTTGTCATTGTTAAAAGTGTGGAAATAATAATTATTTTTACTTTATGTGCAGTAACAACGGAGAGTTTATTTATATGTATGCTTGGCTAAACATCACGAGAAAACAGATACAGTAGATATAACCTATAATCCAAACTAATTATTGCAAAGGGTTAGCGATTTTTCGAATAATTGAATTAACTTTTTTTCTATTAAAACAATCAAACATTTGGAATATACTCGTATGTATTTATTTAAAAAAAAAGTAAAATCAAACATTGTTTTATTGTATTGTGGATTTATTGAAGAGTAAAGAATTTATTAAATTTAGTTATTTAGTTTTGATTGTGTCTAACTGTCTCAACCTCTTGACATTTTTCTTCATCTTTTCTAAAAGAACGATAAGATGGTCTAATTCAATATTTATTTATGTAAATTAGTTTTTACACTCACTTTATTAACAGGTAGTATGTAGGYATGTAAATTAGAGAGATGGAAGTTTCAGGATTATGTTTAATTACTACCTAGGAAAAACAAGCATAATACATATATGGAGCTATTTTATAAAAATTGAGAATAATTGTTATTGCTGTTCGGATTATATCTCGATGCACTCGCTGTTCGGATTACAAAAGTTTCGGATTAAAGAGGTTGAGCTATAATTGCAATATTAAAAGACAGCAATTAATGAGAATCAGTCTTAGATAATTAAATTAATATTCTTCTTTAATATGAACAACACAATGATCACTAATAAAAAAACAATAATTTACAAGCTCAATTCTCAGATGTTTAAAAGGACAACAGTTTCTCGCTAATGCATTTAGCAAATTATTGTTATCGACCTATCAAACACCGCTATTAATTAAAAACGACTTTAATTAGTTAATAACATTTAATTAAAATATTAATTTGTTAAAAACGTAATTAGTGTCGATTTTTTGCTAAATAATTACTAAGAAAAAAAATCAATTCACTGGAGTCATATTTATAATGATGGTTTTATTTTGTAAACAAGATATGTTGTTGTTTTCGATATTTTTTCACGGTATTATTTTGATACTATTCGATAAGCTTTCCAAACAAAAATTGACTCGTATAGGTTAGCTCGGGTTGTGACGAAATTTTTTGTGTTTTTATTTTAGTTTGTTAATCTTTGCCCTTTTATAACAACTGACAATTGGTAATAGTTAATATTCATCTGTTTCAATCTAAACTGATTTGATTTTTTTCGTTTAGACGATCGCAATTTGAAGGTTACTCCTCTGCATTGTGCAATAATTACTCGATTGACCTTTGGGTTAAATCGAATTTAACCCACGCCTCCGCTGCACACGTACCCACCCGAACGTCGATTGCCCTAATGACCCATTTCAGCGACCTTTTTGTCCCGATCCCAAAGGCGATCTTATCAAATCGTCAATAGTGACACCTGTTACGTTGCGAGATTACTCTGGGACTCTGTTAGGTTTTATTGGTCAATCCGAGCTGGGGTTTGGGGTTTCCTTAATTGTCTCGGTGATAATTAAACGATAAATTTCGAGGCCGTTGTTTTATTCTGTTGGAACGTTTATCGCAGTGTAAATATTTTCTTGCATTTTTTTTCAGAACGCTCATTCGAAGATCACGAATACGTACTTGAAGCATCGAGGGATATGAGGGGGTATTCGAGACACGCCCAATTTAGATACGTTTTCAGAAAAGACTACAGGAAATACGAGTTCTTCCACAATCCACAAGTAAGTATATCATTTCCAGGTGGTCCTCGACTATTTGTAAATAGAAGATTTTTCTGGCTGGGTGTTGACTTACGCCGGTGTATAAATATAAATTATTATCTCGGTTGCGGTTTCGCACCGATGTTTGTTTTTGACGAATGGAATTTGGGTGCAACACTTGAATTTATGTTTGTCAGTCCTAGTTTGTGGGACGCGGAAAAATTCTGTTTTCGTCGATGAAATTGTTACAATAACAAGGGTTTTATCGAATTGACGTCACGTTTTAAAAATTTCACTTTGGAAAGAAATTAATGTGGGAAATGATTTGGCAAAATTTTGATTTGTTTTGACTGACTTTTCGTCGCGTTCTTGAACTTGAATTTTTTGACTTTTTGATGTCGAGATTTTTTTTAATTAAGGCTAATGGATCAGATGATAACAGAGGACAAACTTAATTTATTGTAAATTTGGTTTAATTTTGTATTTAAAAACATTCCCCTAATGGTAATTTTAATAATATCGACATTTTAATCAAGTTTTTTATAGATTTGTATCAGAAAAACTAGGATTTTATCAACATTTATGAACAGCTAGGTTAATTTGTTATCAAATAAACTGAAAAATTAGTTCACTAATGATAACTTTAATTAATATTTTTATGTAGGTATCTGTCCGGAATAGAAAATTTGCGCTGCGAAAAATATAAAACGTGCAAGAATTAAATTATAGACGATTGTACTTGAGCTCCGTATTACATATTTACTAGAAATGTATCATTTTAATAAGGATTTGTTAAATATGCCATAAAATTCAATGCAATAACGAATTAATTCGACGATTTTTAAGGTATTGGGTATGTGGCGCCATCCGTCGGTATACTGTGAACCAACGGTTTGTTTAGTTGGGAACCTGTAATTCCAACCTATAGCGTTTCGTAGATGGCGCTCTTTTCACTATCGAAAACTGTAGCCTTGTTTATTGATTATTATTGTTTCTGACGTCAAGCAATAGGTGTCACTCTCATCTTGAATTCTATAATTTATTGTAAAAAATCTAATTTAATAATGAAAATTCTTTTTAAAGTTAAATGTTTTGTTTATTTATACTTTTTTAATTTTATTATTTAAAATAAAAGATTAACATTTGAGTTATTTCGTTAAGTAAGACACCTATAACAAAGGAAATTTCGGTTTTAATTTTGTTATTGTTTAAAATGAGTTATATTATTCAGACACGAACCTTGGCAATAATTTAATTTGAAAAATTCTTTCTCAATATCTAAGTGATATATTGTCTGGTGTCTGACAAGAGGACGCTATAAATAACAATTTATTATTACATTTCATGGCTCCCGACTTCTCATTCATTAATATTTACATGATTATGATAATTTATCAACTCTTCCTTTCTACGGCCTATTTGCAATGCGTCGAAACTTTTAATATTAATAAACTTTTCATTTTTTCTTTTTCAGCAGTTCTTCCCCTCCGATATGTTGAACGTCACCAAGGAAGACTTTCCTCATCTCACAAACTTCAACGAAAACTACCTCCAGGTGAGTGTATGTTAAATGACTCGTTCCAGACCGGATTTGTTAAGCGAAGCTTCCATCAAGTAAATGATGTATTGTTTAACCCAGTTTGTCTTTTGTTTCTAAACAATTTGTAAAATGAGAGACGTTTTTCGATGTTTTATTTTCACATAAGGATAGAAATTTTCAAGTGGTGTGTTTTTACTTAGATAATATCTCTTGGTGAACAATAGATTTGACAACTTGTGATTAATGGATAAAAATAACACAAAATTATTCCAACCGGATTTTTCGTTAATGACAGTCTCAAAAAATTCTTTTTCGAACAATTACTAAAAAACTCAAAAATACACTGTGTGACATAAAAATCGCACCACCTATAATAGGTAATAGGTACTATAATTTCTGAAGGTTAATAAAGAGTGATCTAATCTTTGTTTAAWTTTTTTTTTCTAAAACTTGATATAGGAAGAGTTATTTACCGTCCTGTRTCGTAAGTGCATTTTTCTGTTGCTGTTACTTTTTCTGCATTGATTAACATAAATTTAATTCTCGCTTTAATTTATCTATTTGTGTGATAAATTTCGGTTTAAAATCACGGAAGTTTATACATTATGTAGAAAGATATGAAGAAAATTCATCCCCTTAGTTGACCATGAAAAATAAAAGTCGAGTTAAAGGTTACACCATTTATGGTTTATTGATAGAGTCAATTTTTCAAAATTTATATCTCCACTTATCAAAATAGAATAAATTGAATTTGTGTTAATCACTTATATCTACATGTTTTGTTTTTGTAGTTTAATTATTACCCAAAATAATTGTCGTCATAATAAGTTTTTTTAACGAGCTAACAAATTGCTGCTAATCAAATCGAAATTCTCGACTTTACGAAAGTGATTTTTCAGTCCTTGAAATGGCTAAAAGAAAAGAGTTCGTTCAACTCGGTGTGTAGCAACATCATTACGCACTCTCCTTAAACCATGATATAACTCGATTGTGAGCGCAATTAGCATAATCAAAATCAAAATGTGGCCAATACTGAGAACCCACACACCTCATAAACAAAAAGCTATTACTAGTCCTACGAGAGAGAAAAAAAAATTATAGGCGAACCATATAATTTTCCGTACTGTTGATCGCCAAATTTTTTTCCTTCTCTCATCTTGTTCATCCTACTCGCGTATCGAAACATACAACAAAATTTTAATACTGTAAACAACTACTATAATTCATGTCACTGGAGCGTGAAGAAGAAACCAAAGTCGTCGAAGAAATGAGCAATAAAAAAAAATAATCCTGACCTGATTTACGCCCGGTAAATTTGATTTTTTGCGTTTTCGAATCGAATCGGGCCTTCCGTTCGCTTGATTGGGACGGAATTGGATTTCCAGGAGCAGCTCTGGTTATTTACCTCAAAAATAAAAAAGGTCAACTGTTTTTTTCAAAAATTTGTATAAGGCCGGATGCTGAGCTTTGTCTATTCGCATCCGTTCTAGTGTTTCCACTTCTTGTAAAATATTTCAACGACTTGACAGCACTTATCTCATATCCTGTCTTTAGAAAAATTATTTGTGACCTTCCCTCACCAACTTCCGTATATTCGAAACCCGTTTTTTTTTTCGAGATTTGTGATTGAAATAACGAAGTTTGATGTTTTCTAACGGATTCCGTGTTTTTATGACTGCGATCTCGAACATTTCGAAGGTCATTTATTAAAATTTGAATAAAGGGTCAATTATAGGAACTTGCGGATTAAAATATTGTCCTTGAAGTGGCAAGATGATTTAGTTTTGTTATTAGACTTACACCATTTGAAGCTTGAATACATAAAGTGAGTCAACTATGCAAATATTTTCACTTTTTATCATCTAATTATACACTCGAACGACATAAAAATTACTCGCTTTTTTCTCTTCAATCGAAAAAAAAGTCCAACAATTGAAGAATAATTGCCCGTAATTACGGTATCGCAAAGTGCTTCAAAGTAACATTTTGTAATGAAATAATTCTTTTAACCTTGCAGAATCTCGTGTTACAAGAAGGAAAATCGCCGGTGGTTTTTTCGCAAGTGTGGATTAAAGATCAACAGAAACAGGCCTGGGGTAAGGCCTTTCTGTTACTCCGCGAGAAGAAGCTTTATCTCTCGTACAAGATCCAAGTGTTGGCAAAATTCCTAAGGGCTGCAAAAATCAGGGAAACTTCGGTGAGTCGAACGATTTTTCTTTACAAACACCTGTTTCTAAGCAGTAACCAAGGTTATATACTAACACGGTGAGTAATACGGTTTTGCTGCATATCGAGCCGTCAAAAAGCTAGAATTCTTTTCTCTTGCAAGAAGTTTTTTTTTTCGTCGTGTCGTAATTTTGTTCAAGGTTTTTACGGTTCAATTATTCTTTCATTTATTATAATCACTTATGTGGTCACCGAGTATACACTTTGAAACAGACGTTTAATGAAATGGTAATGACGATTGTATCGGGAGAAAGAGATACGCTCCACTGACTCGCGAGATAATTTAATTTAACACTTTAATAATTTTTCGTTAGCAGCACGACGAAAAAATCAAGAGAGAATCTTTAATAGGAGTGACACAAATCGCAAACCGACCGAGAATCTTGAACTTTTCTGTCAATTTGTCGACGGTTTTGATGAGTAGATTAGAAAGCGAATGCATAATTTTTTTGCAGAATTTCTCCGAAAGCGAAACAGCTTTTGACTGATGTAACGAGATGACAAGCAAAAATCTGATTTTTTTTTTAAATCCTCAAAATGAGTTGCACGTAATTGAGTCAAGTTACGTTAATAAAGAAATAAGAATAAAACAGTATATAAATCGTTTTAACAAACTTTTAACACAACAATCATTGAGTTGTCAAGCGATTAACACGCAACTCTTGTTGCGTAATGTGCTATTATTTTATTTAAATATCAAACGTGGGTTCGAACCTAAATTTCCGAAATAGGGAATTATGGGCAATTGTATTTTTGGGGTCAAGTTTTATTTTTCGACAAACAAATGCATCGTGCACGAAAGCACACAATGTAATTTATTGCATTAAAAATTGATTAATGAAGATTCGACATGCGACCAAGGGATTGGCCAATGTTAAAAAAATCGTTTTTGTGTCAACAATGGGGTGCCCCCGTGGTGAAGATAATGTTAGATTAATTCGAATTGATCGATTGTGTATAGACCAAATCGGGTGGGTGCCGAAGATTTTTTTGCCGTAACAAGGTCAAAGGATTTCGAAAGTCTTCATTACATAACGAGGTGAACTTGTGGGATTTTTTCGGAAGTTGACAAAATTAGAATCGGATTTAGAAATGAATCACGAGTAAAAATTTGAATTAATTGGCCTTCGATTTAAACAAATGACTGCAACTAGTTTATTAACCTCCTAGGCATCGAGGTGGGATGGCGGTGGATCGATGTTGCAAACGATGATAAGATGATAATGCAGCGTACACATTGTGATAGATTGCAGGGTGTATTTTTTAAAACAAGGGGTTTTATTAGAATAATACTTTATAAAAAGTTTCGTCAAAATGTTAATAATAATTATCTCCCTTTTGTAGGTCAAAAAAGGTTGTGAGCTTGACATAATATCAGGCGGTGATTTTAAGTTTGATTTTTTCATACCAATGACATCTCATGTGAAAAATTGTTCTTTTAAATGGGTATTTTAATAGTATTTTAACACTGAAAATTAAAAAAAAATGCAAGTTTTTTGTACTAGATTCGTGTTATATGTCATTATCCGTGAGATAGCGGCGTTATTATTCAACATTTCCGGCATATTAACCTTTCTTTTTCTAACATTTGGTCCAATTAATATTCGTAATTGCGTAATTGTCGTTTTCCTCGAATTTTTTCCTTCATTGTATGTATGTCGTTACAATTTCGTGTCCGTCCATGTGTATAATTATCGGTTTAGTCGCTACAATTAATTTTAATTAAATCGCCCAAAGTTTGGAACGCGATTTTGCGTATAATACATTCATCGTCAATTATTTCGAGTTAATAGGCTTATAAATATTCACTTTGTAAATTTCACTTTCAATCTGGTCCCGGGAACAATTTCTCTCCCTAATAATAATACGAGGGAAGATCAGTTATTACGGTCCCTGACATACAAGAACACAAGATGTAACAAAAATTACATGATTACTTTTCTACATAGTCCCCTGCAACTGCAATGCATTTTTCCCAACGATGTTCCAATGCTCGGACACCCTTAGAAAAAAATTCTTTAGGTTGCTCCTCTAACCAGTTGTTTACGGCAGACATCACTTCATTATCGTCACCATATTTATTGCCACGAAGATATTTTTTTTAATTTTGGGAACAAATAGAAGTCACTAGGGGCCAGGTCTGATAAATAAGCAGGGTGTTCCAAGAACTCGAATCCTGCTTCATAAATAGCAGTCATTGCAACATGACTTTTTTGAATCGGWGCRTTATCCTGATGGAACAGGATTCMCCTACTCAGMTTTCCCCGTCTTTTTTCCTTAATACACTCGCGAAGTTTTGAAATTAAATTGGCATAATAGTAGCCTGTTATCGTGTGTCCACGCTCTAAATAATCAACCAACAGGAATCCTTCCGCATCCCAAAAAATTGTGGCCATAACYTTACCAGCACCTTTTGCTTGTTCACACGTCTGCCTTCCCAGTTTAAACTCTCGAGACATATTTTTTACCACTTGGTAAGAAGAAGCATTCTCYCCCAGTACAGCCACCATATCTTCGTAAATCTSCGTTGGCGACAATCCTTTCTTTTGCAGGTATTTAATAACAGCGTGCACTTCAGGTTTCTCCATTTTTTGCAAAAACGACTGACTACTTGCAATTGGCTTTCAAATAAAATTAAAATGAAACAAGCAAGAAATCTGAAACTGCACCAACTAAGTGACAAAAGATCAACCTTTAAATATGTCAAATTATGTCAACGTCACTTAAACCCTACTATGTTAGGGACCGTAAATACTGATCTTCCCTCGTATATTCTTCTCTCTTCTCTTCGTTTATTCAATTCAATTTTCCTTTGATCATGTTAATTTATAAACAAGAGTGATTTTTTTTAGTTGATGTGTATTACATTATACAAACATCACACCCTTTTTGCTAATAACATAAACAAATACGTTGGATTTGATCGATAAACGCAGTGGCGTCACGCGGGAATGGGACGACGAAAAATTGTCACGTCTACGTGTAACCAAGCTGAGTAAAGGGCAAAGTCTGTTGCTAAAATTTATCTTGTTAATTTGTGTAAGCATTACAGTCAAAGTGGTTTTAAATCACTTATTTGCCGAGTAAATATAGAAATCTTTATTAGAGAAAATTCCGATTTGTTCTGTTTGTAATCCGACTGGTGATTTTCTTTCGGGTTTGTTTGCTGTTGTATTAATTTTATTGCTGTTATTCCAGAAAAGTTTTATTATTATTTTATCGTGACTACTGAGAAAATGTCCGAGTTTATTTAATTTCGCCAAGAAACACGAGTAAACATACACTTTTTTCATTTATTTGTTTTGCAACTCGCGCAAAGCATGCGATAAAACATGTGCGGTAATTATTCGTAATTTTTCGTATCTGAAAGTGTCGTCTCTCGTTATTGTTCGCGGCAAACCAACAGCGAAGATCCTTATCGAGGGCATCACGTAGAATAGAAAATCGCCGGTAATAAAACATACACACGTAATTGCACACTTGCGAAATCCATCCATCCATCCAGCCTCATTGGCATGCGTTTTATTGCCGGCCCGAGCCGCAGAATTAATTATTATGCACTCGAAGGAATGGTCGAAACGGTCTTGGCTTTTATACCACACCAGGGGTTAATAAACTGAAGGAATTGACAAGATTTTTAGCAACGATCGACTTGCATTCGATCAAAAATCAAGACCAGGATGATGCAATCGCAATGAAACATCGGCCATTATGGATGGTTTACGAGCGAGAATCGTAAAATTTGCTAGTTGTTGGATTTTACGACAGCGCCTTTATCTTAACTGCTAGAGAAGAAGTCGGCGACGCCATTTTGGAAAAGGGTGTCACTTGGGACTACTTAATTTCAATTCTTGATTCTTTCACGTTAATGGTAAAAGAAGTGAAGTTCTAAATTTTGTTTCTTTTTCTAATTAAAACTTATTAATGAAATAATAAATTAAACAATTCTGATTGGATATTAATAACAAGGCCAACAAGTTGAGGAAGAAATAGTTGCGACTATAGAGTTTAGCACTCATATCTCTAGTTGTGAAATAGTTCATTTTAAAGATAAAATTAAGATGTGGTAAATGGTAAAGTAAAACTAAAAGATTTCCTGATTTCTTAAAGAAAATAATAAGTTATGTGATGGTTAAAAATACGTTTATTACTACGAACATTAATAATAGATATAATTAGAATGTCATAAAAAGTCTAGTTGATTGTGTCTATTGATAAGAGATAACAAGGTTTTTTCTTAAAGCCAGTATTAGACAGCTATTTTATTTTTTGTCACATTTTAATAATGAAAAATTTCACTTTCGAAAGGGGCGTTGAGAAATGAGTTGACGTCGATCTTTTCCCTTAATAGAGAAGTAATCCTCCCTACACATCGTCATTTCTTGTTAATAACTCTCAAACCGCCGATTTAATTAAAGCGGTGGAAATTCCGAAAAGTTGTTTCGCCTTCCGGGGATGGCTTTTATTACGCAATCAACGTTTCAACAACAATTTTGAGTCGAAAGATGCGTCTTCACCCTCCACCGTCGTCGTCAAATTGTGTTTACGATAGTGGGCTTTAACCGGGATTTTTTTCCTGTCTTCTCTTTATTTGTCCATATGCCAGAAACAATTTCGGTTCGTCTATGTAAAATTCAATTCCTCGTACTCTCCCCTTCTCGAAAGAAATTTGTCAGTGACAGTTATCGATGTTTATGACAGGACAAGACRTATAATTAAAATGATAGTCCGGAGACGGGGTTTTTTATGACGCGATTAAAGAGAAAAATGTTTGAAAATTGTAAAATCAATGTTCCGCTCGGTGAAAGTAATAAATTTTCCAATGGAACGCTCTGGGAAGAATAACATGTTTTCGGTGGCCAAGAATAATACCTGGAAGAGTCCGGAAACCCGSATCGACTGACGCGAACTTACTTCTCCCTTTTGACTCCTAGCGTGAACTTTCCGATATCGGACCGGAGTTTAAAAACA